CACAAAGTTTTATTTCTGCACGTGTTGCATTGTTATCAAATGATGTTTCCACTTTTTTTTGAGTAAATGACTGAATTGATTTTTTATTCGAAGCCGAAGTGATTGATGACAAATGACCTTTAGATTTGCCATGATTTTTAATTACCGTGAGCTCAGCAGTAAATGATGTATTACATAATCTGCATCTAGTTTTAAACTTGTCTGATACATCTGGCATTAACCACTTGTTGAACTTGGTATCATTCATCCATTCTCTCAAAAATTTTTGCTTTCTACGTGCATAAAGTTTCTGCTTTTTAGCCTGTAGTCTTTTTAGCTTATGTTACTCATCTTGTTAGAAAACGTAACACTTGAAATAGCTAAAAAAACACTTTATTCTTCTGTAGATATGGATTTAGGGCTGGAATCTAACCTAAATCAATAAATACAATACTAACTATACCAAATGATTTGTAAATAATTACCTGATTCAGCATAAAAAATATTATATTATATAAAAATATAATAAATATTATTTATATTAAATATAAATATGACAGAGCTCCAAACGATAAATGGCTTTCGAATCCAAACAACAAAAGTGTACATACAACATAGATCACTGAGAGTGTAGGAACCATAGATAATGTAAAATAGTTATATAGATATGCTTATTTATCTATACGCTCAGAATGTGACTGCAGCGCCCATGTGGCGCCGTTATAAATATGAACTAATTGGGGCTATCAGTGTGTGGTTTTCATGGGTTTTATATGTTTGTTAAAGAAAAAAGATATTAAATAGTTGTTATAAATAATAATAAACTAGTGGGGTGTATGGCATCGTGCCTTAAGGCAAATTGCTGGAACTTCCCGTACCGTAACGAAATGTTCGAGGAATATTGAATGTTTTCAAATAGATTATTATAAATATTGTAGCATTGTCTAATATTTATAAGAATTATATAAATTGAATTGCAAAGTTGAAATTATTTGCTCAAAGTATATTAGAACTTTAGTCAGAATTAAAAATAAAAACTGAATTATTTTCGGTATACAAAAAAATTGTTTTTTGAAAAAAAAAGTTGAAACAAAAATTTTTTTCCCAAAATCAATTATTTTGTTAAGACAATCTGAAAGTTCTTTGAATCATTTAAATCGGACGCTTAGTTCTCCCAAAAACTGCCATTTTTTACATATTTAGCTTCGTATCTTTGAAATGGGTGGGCCTGCCTTTGCCAAAAACTATTAAACACTTCTTCTAATCATTACAAATTGAATGTTTTTTTGGTCATTCAAATCAAATACTCCGTTCTCTTAAAAAGTCGATTTCTATTTTCTGCACTCTTTGCTCTTTATCTCCGTAACTGCTAGACCTGCCTTTGTCAAAAACTAACTAGCACATCTCTCTATCAATTAGGAATCGAATGTTTTCTGAACCATTCAAATAGGTTGATCCGTACACCCTAAAACGTGACTGAAAATTTGTATCCATACATACATATACACACACTCACATCCATTTTTTGTGAGGTACTGCCTTTGCACATAGCCTATATATTTACGTTTCAAAGGCTGTTGAACATTTGGCATACCTTAGAAAAAATGGATGTGTGTGTGCGGATACAAATTTTCGTCGACGATTTCGGGAACACCGATCAACCGATTTGAATAATTCAAAAAACATTCGAATCGTATTGATAAGGAGACTTGCTGAGTAACTCAGTTTTTAAGAGAACGGAGCGTCCGATTTTAATAATTCAAAAAGCATTTTACTTGTATTGACAACATAAAAAACTGATTAAATTTTTTGGGAAGGCAGATCCAGCGGTTATGGACTCTCAATAAAAATAAGTTTAAAAAAAGTCATTTGGCGGCCAAAAATGTTTATTGGACATATGTCCATCAAATTATCATATATTTTATGGAGATTTTAGTAATGTGTACACATTTTGTGTAATTTTTTTGGGTTTCGTACCAAAATTATTAATTACGGTATGGAAAGTTCCAGCAATTTGCCCTAAGGCGCGATTACATGCACCCCACTAGTTAAGAACTTAAAGACATAGTTTTTTGTCAATATTAATAGAACAGTTTCGAACTCAGATACAGGACATAAATATTGCGTGGTGCATCGACAGATTAGTCTAATTATAATAAACTTCAAGGAAAGAGGACAGTTCTAGGAAAATATGTAAGAAATTAAGTATAAGCTTCTATGATGAAGACAAAATATTTAGAAATCTTCCAGCTGTTTAAATTAGGATTACCACTTCTCACGGATCTGGATATACTTGAAAGAAAATAAATTGCTTAAGAATGTCAAATTTTGCACGGTGTGATTATTAGTTAATTAGACTTAAGAATGACAGACAATGTAATGAACTAACACTAATATGGATTATTCACTAAATTTCACTAAATGTTTATATTTATAAGTTAAAAACGTGTAGAAGTTAATCCAGTAGATTAGGTGTGATGTATATTTAAACCGGAGAAGTTTGTTATCATCAAAAAATCCGATTCGCTAAATTTATGTTTTCTCGACATTTTAAGCCATTCTGCATCGAATGAGACCAAATTTGGAAAAAGTATGTGTGTGCGTGTATGTGAACAGATTTTTTGCCGTAAATCGACGTTTTCTCAAAAACTGCTGGACCGATTTCAAAACTTTAAAAGCCATTTGATATATCTCGATGAGGACTACTGTTTATCAGGTTTGTGCGACGATCGGCCAAGTCGTTTCTTTATAAATCGCAGAAAAGTGAAAAAATTTTCGTTTACGTTTTAGCCCGCAATTCTGAATCGATTATGAAAATTCAAAAACCGTTCGAAAGATATTTGTTGGGAATCGTACTGATTAGTTTTTGGTAGAGATCGACCGGGCCGTTTTTTTGTAATAAGTTTTTTTAAAAAAAATCGACGATTTTTATGATTATTTTTTTGACGGTAGATACCATAGTCTTCTAGATCATACTAAAATATTGTGACGAGAGGGGGGTTGACGCCCCCTTTCTTAGGGGGTATGCAACGACTGCCAAATATTACATCTAGCGTTGCATCCCCGTTACGAAAGGGTTACACCAACTCCTTAACCCGACTCCTATGAACACCCTGTAATTACCTGTGGAAAAGCCAACTAACTACACGAATGAAAGAGAATGTACTTCTATCTTATTTAATTATTACTAATTATTGTTACAGGTCTGAGGGCATGGCTGTGTCTACGCACAGCCATGTTCTATACTTAAACTCCAACGTACTGATAGATTATTATTAATTTCTATACTAGCGGAGTATAGTATTACAGCTATAAAGGAGTATACTAAACAGATAACTTATAACGGATACCGACGGAGGGAATAGCCTTATAAAACAATATTACATCTGACCTTTGCTGGAACGGGTTTTCCTCTCCTGGCACAACACACACACCACTATACACAAAGCGGGTCCAGCGCCTGGCGCGTGGACCCACTGACCTCCTCAGAGGATGATACAATTCTTAATGCTTCATTTCAACCCCAGACTAGACCTTATATTGCAGGCACCCTAGTAGACGTAGGTGGGGGAGTCCCATTGCACTGGTGGTTATGCAACCCTTTTGACGACAATACCAATTGTCGTTACAATATTACGGTCCTACGACAATTGGTTTAACTTTGAAAATTCGTCAAAGTTTGCAAAAAATAGTATGGTCTTTTTGGCATTTCTCAAAATTAGAACTTTCATCGACGTTTGCTCAAAAACGCCTGAACCGATTTCAGAAATTTAAAAACCATTTGATGTATCTCGATGAGGATTATCGCTTCTCAGTTTTGTGCGACGATCGACCGAGCCGTTTCTTTGTAATTTGAAAAAAAGTGTTAAACTTTGAATATTTTTAACTACTCATAAATTAATTTATCTATCATGGATTAAGTCGATTATTTACACAAATCGGGAAGTTTATGTAACTTGCCTCAAGGCAAAATACCAATACTAACTAGTTGATATTGTATTATTACAAAACATAATACGATTGTAATACTAAATTTAGTTTCAAATACCTGAAAACTAAAATACAATAATTTTAATTTCAAATTCTGCGGCGTTAATTTGAATGCCAAAAGCAGCGCCCTCACGTTTGGGCGTAGGACCCTTAAACTATCCCTTTTGAATTTAAAAATTGGTAGAGAGAAGTGTTCTTGTTCTTCGAATTGTCTAGGACAGGATAAAGACGATACCCATTTATTTTGCTATCTTGATATTTCACAAAAGTGTCTCTTCTCTAGGCTTCAACTGTAAAAAAAGACGTCAAACTTTTTGAAATGTTTGTTTTTATCAACTTCCCGTAGAATGAAAATGTTTGCATATCTTCACGTTTTAGATGTTTCTGAACATTTTGGCATACCTAAAAAAATGGATATGTCTGTGTGTATAAAATTCTTTGTCGACGATTTTGGGCGCACGGATCAACCGATTTTAATTAATCAAAAAACGTGGATGTAAAATTGTATCCAAACATACCTAGGATAAAGACTATACCCATTTATTTTGTTATCTTGAAATTTCACAAAAGTGTCTCTAGGCTTCAACTGTTAAAACAAGACGTCAGAGTTTTTCAAATGTTTGTTTTTATCAACTTCCCGTAGAATGAAAATGTTTGCATATCTTCACGTTTTAGATGTTTCTGAACATTTTATAAATTATTTTTCCATATTTTTATATAAAATTATTTGTCCACGATTTCGGGCGCACGGATCAACCGATTTCAATTAATCAGAAAACGTGGATGTAAAATTGTATCTAAACATACATACATACTACACACACACACACACACAAATACACATTTACCTCAATTTTTTCTGAGGTTTGCTAAAATGTTTAGAAACCTTTGAAACGTAAGGATATGCAAAAATTTTCATTGTCGATTAATTTCAGCAAATCGGATGTTCTGATGACAGCCTAAATTTTCCTTCAGGAAGTTAAAAAAGCAAATATTCACAACACAAGTTAACAATCTAAAGAGTATATTTCTCAATTATATTTAATTCTCTCCACCTTCGGCAGCCAATACTGTTCGATTTCTTTAGTTTTAAACACTCTCTTCACTAAATAATTGAATCCAAAAATCACTCCGACGAATCCCACCATCCAAACGATGAGCAAATCCCACATGAACAATGTGGGGTCCCTCAAGGCACGGGCTTGGGACCTCAAATGAGGAGCCCCCTTGTGCCTGAGCATGTATTCGCACCACCAGAGAGCTTCCTTTAATGGATGTAAGGGACGGTCACGGAAACGGGAGGAACGTTGAGACATCTTGTGGCGGTAACTGGAATAACAAACGTATTGGTATCAATTTGTGGTCAAAAGCCAAAAGTGTAATAGACTGATATTATGTTAGTATTTTCTGGCAACAATTACTGTATAAGTTTTATGAAGTTATTGGAAAAGTTACCTTGTGTCTTCCAGCATTTTCTTCAACTTCGATGTTAACTCATCTTCGTTTAAAGAGTAAATGTTGACAGATTCGGCAACGCCTGCATCTATAGACCGTTTGACATTCTGAAAAAATATAAAGTATAATAAAAAAATACAATATATATATACATATATATAAAAATAAGTCGGGATAATTTTGCATTCGTTGGAAAGGTCTCGGGCTACGCAAGGTTTACAGCTAAGATTAGTGGTACATGGCATCGTGCCTTAATGCAAATTGCTGGAACTTCACGCACCGTAATTAAAAATTTGAGGAATGACATTAGTGAGAATTAAATCAACGAGCAATTCTTGCCGCAAAGAATAATTATGTACACGCACTGAACTTCACCATTCAATAAAAAATTGCTGGCGATTTGGTGACATACCAATGATTCCGACTGGTCTTCCGTTTGACTTCAAACGATTGCAATTTCCAGTTCGCTTTGCATTCGCAATAACAAGTCGCAAGGCCAATCGCTTAGTGTTTGCGGGATAAATAGATTATTTAGAAAACCGTTGTTTTTCTCATGGACAGTTATACGTTGCCTGTTCACGAGTTGGAAAACCATCCGTTGTTTGTGTTAACGTCAGACCAAAAAACAAAAAATGTTATTTACCAAAGAGCACTTCAATGAAACTTAACCGGTAATTTGCGGATTCACTTTCATTTACTTATTGTTAGAGAAGTTCAACTAAAAAACACTTCATTTTTGTAATCGAAATAAATTCATTACTGTAGTGTAATAAAATCAAATTTTTCCTTTTCAAATATAAAACAAACAAAAAATTTCTTCATCTTTCTCACAAAACCATCTGGTGACGAAACGGAGTTCGTCGGGTTTGCTAGTATATATATATGTATATATAATAAAATTGTTTCTTGGGCATCCATCCAGTAATTAAAAAACAGTTTTAATGAAAAATGTTTTTATTTATAGAGAACATACGTTTCGGGTCTGGATTTGACCCATCTTCAGTGCTACAATTAAATAATTCAGGGTTACAAATTAAAACAATATAAAAAAATACATAATTAACAGACAAAAATAAGTAAAACAATGTATATGAAAAGTATATATGAAAAACAACCATAAAATAAACAATGTAAAGAAACTCACCATACAAATAAACTTTGAAAAACAACACAAAAACACAAAATTGCACGAAAAATAAATAAAAGTGAAATAAAAAATTGATGAAACGTCGAGTTATGAAAAATTTTAAAAAAATTGTAAAATTAAAATGAATGATATATTTTATTATAAAAAAGCTTATTCCAAACGAACATGTTGTTAGTTTGGAAGTTGTATTACGAGTGTGTACGAGAGTAAAATGTGTGCGAACGTGTTTGCGGAAAATACTGGAAACTGTATCGTCATTGGTGAGAGAACGGGATAGAGAGAATTTTGGTGGTTCCATATTACGAAGATTTTCTCAACGATCATGCGCAGTAGGAACATAGTAAAAAATTTATATATGTGCAAGACATCCATAATCAAATCCCAAAAATATGTGAATGAAGAGAAAATTATTAAGAAAAAGTATAGATATTAACAGAAAAACGATAATAGTTATGGAACGATAAAAGTTACATAAAAAATTATAACATAACATATATATGTATATATAAACGCAAAACAATAAATGTAATATATGTATACACATACACATACACATATATGCATACACAAAAGAATATGTAGAATACATAAAAGAAATGTTAGGATGTATTGCGCATATTGAAAAAATTATTTGAAGCATCGCGGTAAAGATGCTTCAAATAATTTTTTCAATATGCGCAATACATCCTAACATTTCTTTTATGTATTCTACATATTCTTTTGTGTATGCATATATGTGTATGTGTATGTGTATACATATATTACATTTATTGTTTTGCGTTTATATATACATATATATGTTATGTTATAATTTTTTATGTAACTTTTATCGTTCCATAACTATTATCGTTTTTCTGTTAATATCTATACTTTTTCTTAATAATTTTCTCTTCATTCACATATTTTTGGGATTTGATTATGGATGTCTTGCACATATATAAATTTTTTACTATGTTCCTACTGCGCATGATCGTTGAGAAAATCTTCGTAATATGGAACCACCAAAATTCTCTCTATCCCGTTCTCTCACCAATGACGATACAGTTTCCAGTATTTTCCGCAAACACGTTCGCACACATTTTACTCTCGTACACACTCGTAATACAACTTCCAAACTAACAACATGTTCGTTTGGAATAAGCTTTTTTATAATAAAATATATCATTCATTTTAATTTTACAATTTTTTTTAAATTTTTCATAACTCGACGTTTCATCAATTTTTTATTTCACTTTTATTTATTTTTCGTGCAATTTTGTGTTTTTGTGTTGTTTTTCAAAGTTTATTTGTATGGTGAGTTTCTTTACATTGTTTATTTTATGGTTGTTTTTCATATATACTTTTCATATACATTGTTTTACTTATTTTTGTCTGTTAATTATGTATTTTTTTATATTGTTTTAATTTGTAACCCTGAATTATTTAATTGTAGCACTGAAGATGGGTCAAATCCAGACCCGAAACGTATGTTCTCTATAAATAAAAACATTTTTCATTAAAACTGTTTTTTAATTACTGGATGGATGCCCAAGAAACAATTTTATTATATTATTTCACCATCTGAAGAAAAACCTCTCGCTTTATATGTATATATATATATATATATATATATACATATATATATATATATATATTAGGGTGGTCCTTAATATGGACATTTTCAAATTTCTTTACTCCCAAGGGCTCAAATGGTTCCAAATTGATAAAAAACAATTCTCTGAAAGTTTTAGCTCTTAATATTGTCTTTTAGATAGAGCGCAATTTAATCAAAGTTTTGTATGAAAATAGCATGAAAAATGACACGAATTTTCACTTTTGATTCATTTGTCGCTAAGTTATACCTAAATTTTTTCCTGAATTTTCATAATTTTATCCGTGCTATTTCCATACAAAACTAGATTGAATTGCGCACTATCTAAAAGACAATATTAAGAGCTAAAACTTTCAGAGAATTGTTTTTTATCTATTTGGAACCATTTGAGCCCTTTGGAGCAAAGAAATTTGAAAATGTCCATATATTATATAAATGTATGTATAATATATATAATGTTGCTCATGTTTTTTATAATCTCGTACTATATATTAATTGTTTTCAGTAATAATATCTAAACTACATTTTTAACTTCCCGTAGGTTAAGTTATTGTGATCGTCCAAAAATCGAAAGTGAAAATTTTTACATTTCTCGACGTTTTGAAGGTTTCTGAATATTTTGGCATACCTCAGAAAAAATGGATGTGTGTGTGTATGTATGTATGTATGGATACAATTTTCCAGTCACGTTTTTGGGCGCACGAATCAACCGATTTTGAATGGTTTAAAAAACATTCGATTCCTATTGATAAGGAGATGAGCTGATTAGTTTTTGGCAAAGGTAGGTCTAGCCGTTTCGAAGATACGGAGCAAAGAGTGCAGAAAATAGATATCGAGTTTTTGAGAGTTTGGAGCATCTGATTTGAATGATCCAAAAAACATTCTATGCGTAATGACGGGGAGAAGGCGTGATTAGTTTTCGGCAAAGACAGGTCTAGCGGTTTCGGAGATACAGAGCTAAATGTGCAAAAAATGACAGTTTTTAAGAGAACTAAGCGTCCGATTTGAATGATTCAAAAATCTTTCAGCTTGTGTTGACAAAACAATTACTTTTGGAAAAAAAAATTTATTAATTTTTTTGTTTTGTATATTGAAAATAATTCAGATTTCAATTTTAATTCTGGCTAAAGTTTTAAAGCTCACTTATATACTTTAAATGAATATTTTTGACTATGTGATTCAGTCAAGTTATAGTAATCGCAAAAAAATCGAAAATGAAAATTTTTATATATCTTTACGTTTCGAAGGTTTCTGAATATTTTGGCATACCTTAGAAAAAATGGATGTATATGTGTGTGTATGTGTATGTGTGTATATGCGTGTGCGTGTGTGTGTGCGGATACAAATTTCCGTCGACGATTTAGGGAACACTGATCAACCGATTTGAATATTTTAAAAAACATTAGATTCGTATTGATAAGGAGACGTGCTGATTAGTTTTTGGCGACGGCAGGTTTAGCCGTTCCTTAGATACGGAGCAAAAAGTGCCAAAAACGGTAACTCCAGTTTTTAAGAGAACTGAGCTTCTGATTTTAATAATTTAAAAAAGATTTTACTTGTATTGACAAGGTGAAGAACTGATTAAATTTTTGGGAAGGCAGGTCCAGCGGTTATGAACACTCAATAAAAATAAGTTAAAAGAATGTCATTTTGCAGTCCAAAATGTTTATTGGACATATGTACATCAAATTATAAGATATTTTATAGAGATTTTATCAATGTGTACACATTTTGTGTAATTTTTTTTGGTTCCTTACCAAGAGTTTAATTACGGTACGGGAAGTTCCAGCAATTTGCCTTAAGGCACGATGCCATGCAGTAAAGTACTAAATCACAATACAAAAAAAATTTACTTATTCAAAAAATTATTTAGAAGTTTCATATTTTCATATTTTTGACATTAAATACTGAATATTTACTCAAGTCAATGGAGCGTTTTGGGTCTGAATTTTTTTACTGTGCTCCAATTTGTATAAAATTTTGGAATTAGGTTCATTTTACTCTTAAGTTCAAAAGTGAAAATAATTTAGACTTCTTTGCCACTTCCCGAAGGGATGACATCCTTTCTCAGTAGTGTAATTTTGTAAAAAAGCAAATACTTTTCAAGTTACTGGCTACTGAAAATTGTTTTTTTTTGGCGCTTTTCATCGTTTTTTTGCAAATATCTTAAAAAATATACAATTTAACAAAAATCACTTAATGAACAAAATTATATCAGTTAAAATCTTAATAAATCGGTGCTTTATAACGTGTCCTAGGAACAATATTAAGCTAGATATGAAAAAGCGTTTTTAATTTTGTTCCGTTAAGATTTAATTGTTGTATTTGAAGCGGCGAGGTGTTACATTTTATATATTCCATGGGGTTTTATAGTACTCAAAATAAGCTATAAAATGTGTACTGTTAAGAGTCTGTTTTTTTTTCAAATTTAAGTTAAATGGTTTTATATGGGTGCCATTTCAACCAAAATTAAAATTAATCGTATTTCAACTAGAATTAACTTGGTTCAAGAGATTCCAAAATTATTATTAAAAACTAGTAGGTTGCAAAACACGACTGCATTAGTTAAAAAATATTAATCAGTCAAATTGAATTAAATAGGGTATATTCACTGACAGTCCACATCCGTCAGACGCATGCGCAGACTGTTCATTTGTCAGATATATAATGTATCATATATTATTTTAATTTTTGGCACATTTCAGCTACTTTTCGGCAATAATAATGTAGACATTACATTTTTTTATTCATAATCATGAATTTATTATTAACTTCCCGAAGATGAAGTTTATGTTTTCATCAAAAAATCCGACTCGCTAATTTTATGTTTTCTGGACGTTTCAAGCCATTCTGAATCGAATGAGACAAAATTTGGAAAAAGTATGTGTGTGTGTGTATGTGTACAGATTTTTTACTGTAAATCGACGTTTTCTCAAAAACGGCTAGATCGATTTAAAAAAATTAAAAGCCATTCGATGTATGTCGATGAGGACTATCGTTTGTCAGTTTCGCGCTACGATCGGCCGAGCCGTTTCTTTGTAAATCGCAGAAAAGTGAAAAATTTTTCGTCCACGTTTTAGCCCGCAATTCTGAATCGATGTTGAAAATTCAAAAACCGTTCGAAAGATATTGGTTGGGAATCGTGCTGATTGGTTTTTGGTAGAGGATCGGCCGGGCCGTTTTCTTGTAATAAAGTGTTAAAAAAATTTTTTTCGACGATTTTTATTATTATTTTTTTGACGATAGATACCAGTCTTCTAGATCATTCTAAAATATTACGGCCCTACGACAATTGGTTTAATTTTAAAAATTCGTCAAAGTCAAAAATGGTATCGTTTTTTTGGCATTTGTCAAAATCAGACCTTACATCGACGTTTTCTCAAAAATGCCTGAACCGATTTCAGAAATTTAAAAGCCGTTTGACGTATCTCAATGAGGATTATCATTTGTCAGTTTAGTGAAACGATCTGCCCAGCCGTTTCTTTGTTTTAAAAAACCGATTTTTAAAAATCAAAAACTGTTCGAAAGATTAGTTGGGAATGATACTGATTAGTTTTAGGTAAAAATCTACCGAGCCGTTTTCTTGTAATCAACTGTTGATAAAAAAATTGGAGCCGATTTTTATAGAACTTTTTTGGCGATATTTATCATGGTCTTATAGAACTTACTAAAATATTACTCCCTTACGACAAGTAATTTAATTTTAAAAATTCATCAAAGTTTGAGAATTTGAGTAGTTTTTTTGACGTTTGTTAAAATTAAAATTAGACGATTTACTTGGTATAACGATAGAGTACTTGGTCTTAATGAACATAAACTAAACCATTTAAAGTCCAACGAAAACCGGTTCAATTATAAAAATTGTTGTTTTTTGAAAATTTGCTCTTAGAAAATATTCCGAGTTAACGAGTTTATGTGTAATGAATCCTCTCGGAATACTTCTAATCACTCATAAATTAATACCAACACCAACTAGTATTTTAATATTGTCTCAGCTCATAGGTGAATTAAAATATTTGGCAAATGACAGTCTTCATTTGTTTTCAATGTCAAACAACGCCTCGAATATTCTCAATGTCGAACAATGATAAGCGGTTTTTTGTAATTTTTTCCATTTTATTCTACAATCTAACTATATTTCTATGAATCTAAAAATTCAAGAAAATTTTCCGAACAAACTTCAGGTAGATTCATGAAAATCCGAATTATAGTTTAGGAGGATTAACCATTCATACATAGTTACAGAAGAATTTTATATATAAGATATATATATATATATATATATATATATATATAAGATATTGTTACTTACAGAATGTTGATCACCAACTACAGGAATTCCAAGCATCGGTACACCATGCCAAGTGGCTTCTTGGGAACTCAAAAGACCACCATGAGTCAAAAACAGAATCACCTTAGGATGTGCTGGTGAGAAAAAAATCTATAGAATATTACACTAAACTAAAAGATCATCATTTATTATCATTATCATTATTAAAAGTCATTTATCCTTTATCTTACCCAAGATGTTATTCTGCTCAATCCATTTCTTGACCATAACATTTTTAGGTAAGTTCAATGAGGAAGGATCTTCTTCAAACTTCCACAAGAAATGGTAATCAGGAAACTTTCTCATGGTTTTGATGAAGATCTGTATACGTTCTGGTCCTATGGTGGAGCTTTTGACGTTGGTTCCAAGACTTAGGAGAATGGCACCCTTTTTGGATGATTCGAAGAAGATGGAGATGTCCTGAGGAAGACAAAGTAGGATGAAGTTTGAGGAAGATAAAGAAGTAGAAGAAATAAAAGATGTGAATATTGCTAATTATGATTTAAATTTGATCTAGGATATTTGTATGCATTATTATAACTTCTTGAAGAAGTAGTTTATTTCTTCACGAAGAAATGCGACTTGCTATCATTAAGTTTTCTCTATGTTTCTAATTATTCTGAATCATTTGAGACCAAATTTGGAAAAAGTATGTTCGAATGTTTGCGTGTGTATGTGACTATGGTTTTGAATGTGACCCGATTGTTGACCCCTAGTCCACATCACGACAAAAACGACTAAATTGATTTCACAAATTTAAAAGCCATTCGAAGAAACTCGATTAGGAGGCTTTGATTATCTTGACATGGCATAAGTTAAACGTCCGAGAAATGAAATCTTTTCAGAACCTTCTGAACATTTTGGCATATTATTTTGTTAGAAAGAAAACGGACATGCATGTGATGTTTTGTATGGATACAATTTTTGGTTCACGCTTTTGGGCGAAAGGATCAACCGATTTGAATGATTCAAAAAACATTTGATTAGTGTTGACGACGAGGCGTGCTGGTTAGTTTTTGGCAAAGACAGGTGCAGACGTTTGGAAGATATAGAGCAGAAACTGCTAAAATTACAGTTTTTGAGAAAACGAATCAAAACATTTGAATAATTCGGAAAATATTTTACTTGTGTCCCTAGGCAAAATTAGAATACCATGTGTTGCTTGTGTCGACGGAATGAATAATTGGTTACATTTTTGCGAAGACAAGTTTGGAGACAGGTTTCGGAGATGCAAGAAAAAAATTGCTACAATCGATATTTGTTGATCAAATATGATCTTTTAAATTAATTATTTATTATTCATATACAAATAAAATTATTGGTAAATAGGCAGACATGTATACAGGTAAACAGTAGAAAAATGATAGATAAGCAGGTTGACAGTTATAAATGGTAGACATGTAGGTAATCAGATAAAAAAGTAGAAAAGGTGTTATGTATACAGATAGAAAACAAGTGGACAGGTAAACATCAGGTGGATACGTACAGGTAACCATCAGATATAGTGGTAGACAGGTGAACAGACAGGTTCATTTATTTAGAAAGCATCTGACCAGAGAGGGATACCGCACGAGAAAGATCAGGACAAGGATTGCAAGCACCAAGACGGCGTTCACGAAAAAGAAAACATTACTGACAAGCAAACTTAGTCTCGACTTGCGGAAGAGATTGATAAAGTGTTACGTCTGGAGCATAGCTCTGTACGGATCAGAGACATGGACTCTAAGAAACTATCTGGAGAGTTTTGAAAAGTGGAGCTGGAGGCGAATGGAGAAGATAAAGTGGACTGACAAGTTAACAAGTGAAGAAGTCCTGAGAAGAGTGAAAGTGGGATCAGAGACATGGACTTTGAGAAAAGTTGACAAGAACTATCTTGAGAGTTTTGAAATGTGGTGCTGGAGAAGATAAAGTAGACTAACAAGATAACAAAGAGAGGACTCTATTGAACACGATCCTGAAAAGAAAATGTGCCTAAATCAGACCAATTCTGCAAAAAGAGTGCCTCCTGCACGACGTCGTCGAAGGCAAAATAGAAGGACTGAAAAGATTGTGAAGAAGAAGAATGCAGATGGTTGATGACTTAAGTAAGAAGAGGAAATACACGAAACTGAAAGCTGAAGCACAGGATAAGGAAGCATGGAAGCACAAGTTTGGAAAGAGAAATTTATGAAAACGAATATAAATTGGATAATGGTCATTAATTAATGGTAATAAAACCATAATGGGGATTATAAACAGAGAAAAGGAAATAATACAAATGATTCTGTGGACCTGCCTTCAGGCAGACTACTATTTATTATTATTACTAATTGAAGATTCTAGACAAGTCACTAAAAACTATAACGTAGAAACTCCATTTTTAAAATACAATTTGTAATAATAAAACAGGATATAAGGTTTTGTTTTAAGGATAAATAATAAATATTTTTTAATACACGGATAGTAAATATTTATATAAATTTATTTATACAATGGTAATAAAATTTACAATGTTAACAGATGGGGCAATTCTGCCGTAACAGAGGTCATAAAATAGCATTGTCATGGCAATGCTTAAATTTAAGCTTAAATTAGGTAAGAATCTCGGAATTCAAAATACCCAGATGTAAGTCTGTAAATACTTGTATATTGACACTAAAAAGTTGTCTCAAAACCTACATATGATAGGTGCACCCTTCCATATGTAGGTTTTGAGACAACTTTTTAGTGTCAATATACAAGTATTTATAGACTTACAGCTAGGTAACTGGACTGAAATATATGCTTGTTTCTTGGTAGTGAAAACTGTGAAAATGTCTATCTATTTGCTGTGTCATCAGGTGTATTTTACATATAAACAAGCAAGGAAGAATGTTATGATAACAGAATCTTCAATGATGCAGTTATCATAACATTCTCCCGCTTTGTTTTCATGCAAATAGATAGACATTTTCATAATTTTTACTACCAAGAACAAGCAAGGGTGCAATGCCATGACAACATAAGACAAGAACATAAACTATTCATGTTTCATACAATTTTACACACAGATATAGTTTTTATTTATAAATATTTCATTGTTTTTCCTCTTGTTTCTTACTATGAACAGCCATGTGTATTTTCAAATTGCGTGCTTGTACAAAACTTTTATCGCATATACCACATATATAAGGGCGCTCTCCAGAATGACAAAGCATGTGCGATTTCAGGTAGCTCGCTTGCGTGAATGTTTTATTGCATATTTTGCATTCATAAGGGCGTACACCACTATGAATAAACATGTGACATTTCAAAGTATATGATTGTCTGAAAGTTTTCCTGCATACATCACATTTGAAAGGGCGCTCTCCTGTATGGATACTCATGTGACTTCTCAAAGCGCTTGAATGCAAAAAAGTGCCTTGACATACATCACATGTGTAGGAACGTTCTCCGGTATGCTTTAGCATGTGTTTTGTCAAGTCGCTTTTTTGACTGCATACCTTATTGCATATTTCACATTTAAAAGGACATTCTTCAGAATGTGTAGTCATGTGGGACTTCAATCTGTCGGATCGTTTGAAAGCCTTTTGACAGATCTGGCATTTGAAAGGGCGTTCTGTGCTGTGAATAACACTGTGTTTTGATAAATGTGACGGACGTTTGAATGTCTTAAAACACACATCGCACTTGTAACGGCCTACACTGGTATGAGTAAGGAAGTGATCAACGGAGTGCTCTTTCAAATAAGGCGATTCTGAAAATGATCTATTACCAGCGGGTGCCTCGATTACCTCAGGCCTGATTTCTCCTTCTGCCGTGGCTTCAGAATTCATTACAATTTCCTGGCAAGTATTGTTAGTCTCTGAACACGATTCAGAATTAACAATAGCATCAAGATCCTCAAATTCATCCTGAACTTCACCTGCAATTTCTTCTACTGAATATTCTTGGGGCTCAATTTTAATTTTCTGATCAGTTATAGACATAGTTGTTTCTTCTGACATTTTTAGAAATAATATTATTGAAATTAACAGCTGCGGTTTATTTTTTATTTATATATTTCTATTCATTTATATATTTTAATTTTATTTAACTAAATTTATGTTTGTTATTACAAATGAAAACTTGTTTGACATTTAAGTTGACAGTTGAAGCATAGAGTTGCATAGAGTATGTACGGTGTATGGATAAGAGTTGGTCATAGACCTTACACTACATGGACTGCTAGTCCTCATATGTTTTCTATTTTATAGTGTATAAAATGTAGAAGGAGATCAGAAATAAACTAGTTGGTATTGGTATTTAGCCTTGAGGCAAGTTACATGAACTTCCCGATATGTGTAAATAATCGACTTAATCAATAATAAACAAATTAATTTATGAGTGATTAGAAGTATTCCGAGTGAATTTATTACACATAATTGAAAACGAACGAACATGTTACTCTCGGAGTACTTTCTAGAAGCAAATTTTTTATTTTTATATTTGAACCAGTTTTCATAGGACTCTAATGGTTGATTTATTTACCAAGTACTCTAACGTAATACCAAGTAAATCGTTTAATTTTAATTTTAACAAACGTTAACAAAACTACTCATTTTCTCAAACTTTGATGATTTGTTAAAATTAAACTACTTGTCGTAATGCCGTACGTAATATTTCAGTAATTTCTATAAGACCGTGATATACATCGCCAAAGAAAGTTTTATAAAAATCGGCTTAATTTTTTTTTCAACAGTTAATTACAAGAGAACGGCTCGGTAGATTTTTACTTAAAACTAATCAGTATCATTCCCAACTAATATATTTCGAACAGTCTTTGATTTTTTAAAATCGGTTCGGTAGTTTGAGGTTAAATGTGAACGAAAAGTTTAACACTTTTTTCCAAATTACAAAGAAACGGCTTGGCAGATTGTCGCACAAAACTGACAAACGATAGTCCTTATCCAGATACATCAAATGGCTTTTAATTTTCTGAAATCGGTTCAGGAGTTTTTGAGAAAACGTCGAAGAAGGTCTAATTTTGACAAATGCCAAAAAAATGATACCAATTTTGGCAAACTTTGACGAATTTTTAAAGTTAAACCAATTGTCGTAGGGCCGTAATATTTTAGTATGATCTAAAAGACTATGGTATCTAACATCAAAAAAAAAATTAATAAAAATCGTCGAAAATTTTTTTTTTAACACGTTATTACAAGAAAACGGCCCGGCGGATCTTTACCAAAAGCTAATCAGCACGATTCCCAACCAATATCTTTCGAACGGTTTTTGAATTTTCATAATCGATTCAGAATTGCGGGCTAAAACGTGAACGAAATTTTTTTCACTTTTCTGCTATTTATAAAGAAACGTCTCGACCGATCGTCACACAAAACTGACAAACGATAGTCCTCGTCGAGATACATCAAATGCCTTTTAAATTTTTGAAATCGATCCAGCCATTTTTGAGAAAACTGTTGGTGCACAGGCACACAAACACACATACTTTTTCGAAATTTGGTCTCATTTGATTCAGAATGGCTTGAAATGTCGAGAAAACATAAAATTAACGAATCGGATTTTTTGATGTAACATAAACTTCTCCTTCAGGAAGTTAAAATTTTTGATATTAACTATTTGAAAGTGGCATTTAGCCTTAAGGAAAGTTGCATGAATTTCCTGAAATGTGTAATAATTCACTTAATCAACCGAATTTGAAATTTAGATGTTTAGATGTAGTTTTCATCATTTTGCACTCGACTAGCAATCCATGTAGTTATAAAGTCTATGACGTTGGTACTTTAGTCGCCATGTTTGACAGTTTTGACAGCCGAACATAAATGATAAAACAAATGTCAATAGTGTTAAATAATTGTGTAGCTATGATAAAAACGAATTTAATTATGCAAATAATACTTAAATATTAATACAGAATTTATAAATCAATTATTTATTTTATAAAATTATAAAATAAATTTTGTAAAAGGTTTTTAAAATGTCTAATGGAACAAACTATTTAAATATCAAAACAGAACCAGAAGAATTTCCATTAGTTGATAATAATGTTGACAGTTTTTGTGTAAAAAAAGAATTAGAACCTGATAAATACAAAAAATATAGCATAAAATTAGAACCTGATGAATACCCATCACTTGATGATAATGTTAATAATCAAGAATTAGAATTTCATATAAAAATAGAACCTGATGAATGCCCATTACTCAATAATAAAGTCAATAATCATGTAAAACAAGAACTACAAGATCTACATATAAAATCAGAACCATGTTCAGACGATGATGGGGTTTCTCTGGACGGTTTTGTAGTCTCTGAAATCCCCGTACAAGAAGACGATCACATATGCACCATATGCAGCCAAAAATTCACCACCTCTGCAGAGCTATCCATCCACAAAATCATCCACCTCGACAAGCCTTTAAAATGTAAGTACTGCCACAAAATATTCGAACGCCAAGATACTCTATCAACCCATCTCAAAACCCATTACGATTCCACCCGTCCCGTATGCACCATTTGCAACAAAACATTCAGTCGAACAGCAACCCTAACAGCCCACAAACGTATCCACACTGGGGAAGGCCTCCACAAATGCGAAACGTGCCATAAAGGCTTTGTGAACAGCAGCAAATTAAGGGAACACAAGCTAATCCATTCCCAAGATCGTGCCTATAAGTGTGAAATTTGTGAAAGGACTTTTGCAGGTTTTTCAAATTTTAAAAAGCACATGATTGTGCATAAAGGTAAGCCTTCGTTTGAGTGTGAGGTGTGTGGGAAGACTTTCATGCATTCGAGTAGTCACAAGCAACATATGGTTTGTCATGAGGCTGTGAGGCCTTATACGTGTGATGTATGTAGTAAAGGTTTTAATCGAAGGTTTCTTTTGTTGACTCATTTAAGGACTCATACAGGGGAACGTCCTTTTAAATGTGATGTTTGTGATAAAAGGTTCACGCAAAAGACTTGGTTGAGGAAACATCAGAAGACACACTCGAAGTAAAGGCTGGAGGCTTCATACACACAATTATTAAAGTTAATAATATTTCTAATAAGTAGATGGGGTCTAGTTATGTTTTGTATATAAATCAATTATGAATTAATTTATTTTAATAGTTATGAATTAAGAGTCTATTTCTCATAACTTCATTATGTGACTTTGTGTGACAAACCTTTAGCAATTTAATTTTATAAGTAAGAGATGTATAAAAATTAAATGTAGGTGGCCTCTTGCCTTAAAACAATTGTAAATAATCGATTTAATGAATAAAAATGGAGACTTAAACATTTAGAGAAAATGTTCAAATGTTTATTTCAAACATAAATGTTTATCTTTCACTAAAAACTATTCAACGCGATTTTAAACTGATAACTTTTAAACAAAACCAATTGTGTATGGCATCGTGCCTTAAGGCAAATTGCTGGAACTTTCCGTACCGCAATGAAATATTCAAGGAATATTAAATGTTTTTAAATAGATTTAGTGCAGTAAACGGAGCGTTTTAGGTCTGAATTTTTTTACGGTGCTCCGAATTGAATAAAATTTTGGAATTAAATTCATCTTACCCTCAAGTTCAAAAGTGAAAACAATTCGGGTTGCGCCTTCACCCCCCGGGGGGATGACACCGCCTCTCAATTGTGTAATTACATTTTTTCAAAAAAACGTCGGAATTCGATAGAAGAACTAATTATAAGAAAAAATGTCTTTTATAGTTTTTCAAAAAAATTAATACTTTTCAAGTTACTGGCCACTAAAGATTCATATATTTTTGGCGTTTTTCTTCGTTTTTTTGCAAATATCTCCTAAAATATACATTTTAACGAAAATCATGTAATGAACAAAATAATGTCAGTAAAAATCTTAATAAATCGGTATTACATAAAGTTTTCTAGGAAAAATATTAAGAAAGATTTGAAAGAGCAAAGTTGTTTTTTATTTCGTTCGAGATTTAATTGTTGTATTTAAAGCCATCTAGTGGCGAGGTTTTACATTTTATGCATTTCGGTAAAATTGGGTTTTATAGTGCTCAACATAAGCTTTAAAATGAGTGCTGTTACAAGTTTTTTACGTGTAAAATGAGTGAGCTATCGTGCAAATAAGAAGCATATACGAAGTTTTTTTCTTTTAAATCACATGGTTTAATGAGCGCCATTTCCACCAGAATTAAAGTTATTCACATTCCATCTAGAATTCACTTCATTATAGACATCTTGATGGATTCTAGCAGATTCACTACTTTAGTACAAACTATGTTCAGAAAACTCACGATTTTATAAAAACTTTTTTTTCAAATTTTTTAAAAAATCGAAATTATTTTCATTATATCTCAAAAAAAAGATACGTATAAAAGCATATAGATAAAAATCAAAGGGATCTTTCTGGCTTATTTTTGTTATTTATTATTTTTCTTTCACACAAAAATTGACAGAGTTATGAATGTTTAAAGACTGCGCGGCCGCGCAAATTGGAAAAAAAAGTTTTTATAAAATCGTGAGTTTTCTGAAAATAGTTTGTACTAAAATAGTGAATCTGCTAGAATCCATCAAGAGGTCTATAATGAAGTGAATTCTAGATGGAATGTGAATTACTTTAATTCTGGTGGAAACGGCGCTCATTAAACCATATGATTTAGAAGAAAAAACCATCGTATATGCTTCTTATTTGCATGATAGCTCAATCATTTTACACGCAAAATCTTGTAACAGCACTCATTTTAAAGCTTATGTTAAGCACTATAAAACCCAATTTCACCGAAATGCATAAAATGTAAAACCTCGACACTAGATGGCTTTAAATACAACAATTAAATCTTGAACGAAATAAAAAACGATTTTGCTCTTTCAAATCTTGCTTAATATTTTTCCTAGAACACTTTATGTAATACCGAAATATTAAGATTTTTATTGACATTATTTTGTTCATAACATGATTTTCGCTAAAATGTATATTTTAGGAGATATTTGCAAAAAAACGAAGAAAAACACCAAAAATATATGAATATTTAGTGGCCAGTAACTTGAAAAGTATTAGTTTTTTTGAAAAACTATAAAAGACATTTTTTTCTTATAATTAGTTCTTCTATCGGTTTCCGACGTTATTTTGAAAAAATGTAATTACACAATTGAGAGGGGGTGTCATCCCCCTGGGGGGTGATGGCGCAACCCGAATCGTTTTCAGTTTTGAACTTGGGGGTAAGATGAACCTAATTCCAAAATTTCATTCAATTCGGAGCACAGTAAAAAAATTCAGAGGTTATACCCTTTTTTCCTCTCCGTTTACTGCACTAATTATTATAAATTCTGTAACATTGTCCAATATGTATGAGAACTATATAAACTAAATTACAAAGTTAAAATTATTTATTAACTTCCCGTAGGGTAGTTATAGTAATAGGCCGAAAATCAAAAATGAAATTTTTTACATTTCTCGACGTTTTGAAGGTTTCTGAACATTTTGGCATACCCCAGAAAAAAATGATGGTTGTATGTGTGTGTGTGTGTTTTATGGGTCCGTATTTTTTTGTTTACGTTTTCGGGCGCACGGATCAACCAATTTGAATAGCTCAAAAAACATTCGATGATGATCAAGAAAGCATTCAATTCATAATGACGGGGAAAGGTGGTGATTAGTTTTTGGCAAAGGCAGGTCCTGCGGTTTCGGAGATACAGAGCTAAATGTGCAAAAAATGGCACATTTTTGAGAGAACTAAGCGTCCGATTTGAATGATTCAAAGAACTTTCCGCTTGTTTTAACAAAATAATTGCTTTTGTAGAAAAAATTTTTGTTTCAATTTATTTTTTTTGTGTATCGAAAATTATTCAGATTTTAATTGTAATTCTGACTTAAGTTCTAATATATTTTAACCAAATATTTTCAACTTTGGAATTCAGTTTATATAATTCTTATAAATATTAGACAATGTTACAGTATTTATATATAATAATCTATTTGAAAACATCTAATATTCCTCAATCATTTCGTTACGGTACGAGAAGTTCTAGCAATTTGCCTTAAGGCACGATGCCATACACCACTAGTTTATCTATTAACTTGCATAAATTTTAATAAAAGCAACTAAAATATCATGTATTATTATGTTCACATTAAGAAACATAAAAAATTCTATTTACAAACATTAACTTCTTTGTTCAAACGTTCAAATTACTGTGTGACATACATTTATAAAATCATTTTAAGAGTTAATTAATTACAAGATAGTTTTTGATAAAATTAAATTTAATAAATACTGTAACAAAAATATTGCATAACTTGTATAAATTTTAATACAAGCTCTTGCCAAAATATTTATCTATCAACTTGAATAAATTTTAATAAAGACAACTAAAATGTCATGAACTGTGGCAAGTAACATAAAAAATGCTGTTGGAAAACCTTTTAAACTTTTTAAACAGCTGTGTGATTGTGCCATTAATAAAATAATTTTACAAGCATAGATAAAAGAAGAGTATATGATTACAAGATAGTTGTTAAAATTAAATTTAATAAAAAAATATTGCAAAAATGTAATATTTATTTATCAGTCTCATATTTTTTAATAAAAACAGCTAAAATGTCACGAACAACGTTTAAGTAACAAAAAACGATGTTGGTGAACATTAACTTTCAAAAAAACAACTGTGTGAATGTACCTTTATCAAAATAATTTTTTTTTTTTTTTTTTTTTTTTTAATTAATTTATTTATATATATATACATTATTTTCATATCTCAGTCAGGCAGAGTTGCCTGGTATGAGAGATTATGAAAACAGTTTTCATATAATATATACATTTCATTTGACTATAATAATCTATTTCATTAATATAATATCTATATATAACTAAAAATATCTTTATATATCACTCTTCAGTCTTCTTGGTCTTCAATTTCCTTATAGTGTTTTTTTTATTTTTCTTTTAAATTTATCGTCATCTTTGGTCATCTTAATATTGTTTGGCAATTCGTTATATGTTTTGCTGGCACTCCATATGACATTTTCTCTGAAATTCTTCTTTCTATTGTGTTCAATGTGAAAATTGTTGTGTTGTCTAGTATAGTGTTCATGTATATCTTGATTTATGTCTATTGTTGTGCTTGTTTTAATTCGGTTAAATTTCATTTTGTGTATTAGTTTGCATTTCTCTATTTTAATTATGTTATTTAGTGAAAGATTATTTGTTTCTCTCTGTAAGTATTTGGTGGGTGTCAGATGTGGAAAATTGTATGCTATTTTGGTGGCTTTATTCATTATTGTCTGTATGTCATTTAAGTTAGCTTTAGTTGTTTGGCTCCATGTTGTTATTCCATATAAAATTATAGGTAGTATTTGTGTTTTAAGAATTAGTATTTTATTTTTTTTGCCGAAAGAGTGGATCCTTTTCAATGCCCCTGTTAATGTTCCAATTTTTCTTTTTATTTTGTTTATATGTTCTGTCCATGTCAGTTTTTCATTTATTATCAGTCCTAAGTATTTTATGCTTTCCACTTCTTCTATTTCTCTATTATTTACTTTAATATTTAGTTTAGTGTTCTCAGTATTTTTTTATGTTTGAAATATATGTATTTTGTTTTATTGATGTTAATTCTTAGTTTATTTTTAGTTAGCCAGTCAGTGTATGTTTTCATGTCCGTGTTTATTGTATCTTCAAGCCTTTTTTTGTCCTTATCTGCATATACTATGGCAGTATCGTCTGCATATAGTATGTATCTGCCCTTTAATTTTACATCTTTTAGGTTGTTGGTATATAGCAGATATAATAAAGGACCTAAAACAGAACCTTGTGGGACTCCACAAGTTATGCTACGACCCCCACTTGTAAAATTCCCACCTTCGTCCTTACCACCCTTTCCACGAGAAAATCTTTAATTATGCTGTAATACAAACCTACTACACCCAAATCTATTAATTTATTGAGCAATATGCCATGATCCACAGTGTCAAAAGCTTTTTGTAAGTCAATAAAATTGCAGCTGTATGCATATTTTCCTCAAGGTGCTGACTGATGGCATTGGTCAAATCTATTAGGGCACCTTGAGTATTTGATGAAGGGAGGAAACCATATTGATGTTTATCTATTTTTTGAATGAGTAAATTTAGTAGTCTTTCTTTAATTATTTTTTCATATATTTTGGAGAATGTATTAGTTATTGTAATTGGTCTGTAATTATTTGGATCTGTTTTGTTTCCTGTTTTAAAATTGGTTTTATTGTGGCTGTTTTGAGGCACGAAGGAAAAATACCCCTTTTTATGCAGTTATTGATTAAAAAAGTGAGTAGAGGAGCTATTTGATAAATTATTTTTTTTATAATTCTTGCTGTTATTTTATCTTCTCCAGGTGCAGCGTTGTTTTTCAGGTTTTCCACAATTTTTATTATTTCTTTTTCATTTGTTAGTTCAAAATTTTGTTTTTTTGTTTTCAGGTCTAGATATTGATGATATGTAGTTGCATTGATCTAGTTTTTCTTGTAGTTTTGTTCCTATTTCAGCAAAATGCTTATTGAGATACTCCGCAATGTTTTCCTTTTCCGTAAGAAATATGTTTTTATCTTGATGTTAATTTTTTTAATACTGTCTTTATATTCATTTTTATTATTTCCCCCCCTTAATGATTTGTTTATTAGCTCCCAGATTTTCCGAGGATCATTTTCACATTTTTGTGTTTCTTCTAGATAGTACTGTCTTTTTGCTTTGTAGATCATATTTTTTTATATCTTTTTTATATTATTATATTTTATTTTTATTATATTATACTTGTTTACTTCATTCGGATTGCATTTCTTCATATCAATGTAAAATTTGTTTCTATATTTCATTAGTTTTGTAATTTCTTCTGTTATCCAAGTATTTTCTCTTGCTCTCAGTGTTTCTTTGATTTTATTTTCGTTTGCTGCTTCTTGTATAATTGAAATTAAGTCCTCTAGTGTGTTAACTGTTTTAGAGTTTAATTTACAAGCTATTGTGTTTTCTAGTCCTTCTAGTCTTATGCTGTATCTGGTTATTTTGTGCATTTTGGGTTTTATTTTTGGTGTATTTTGTACATATATTGATAGCATTTTGTGGTCGGATAGTTCTGTGTCTTTTAATTCTATGTTTATATTTTTTTTGTAGTTGGATATAACATGATCAATTATGGAATGTGTGTTCTGAGTCTCTCGTGTAGCGTGTTGTTTATCTATATTGTTTATTATTCTGTATCCTGATGATTCTATGGTATTTTATAATTATTTGCTATATTGTTATTGGGTATTAAATCTAAATTCATGTCACCTATTATTATTGTATTTTTATTATTTTCTTCCATCTTTTTCTCTATTAAGTTTACTAGGTCTTGTTTGTTATTATTTGGCGGGTTGTATATAACTATAATTTTTATAACTGGATTCATATTAGTTATTTCTATTTCCAATATGTTGATGTTATTTATATTACTACTTTCTTTGACTGTGCTATTCAAACCGTTTCTTACAAATATAGCTATCCCTCCTCCCCTTTTTTTTTTCTCTGCAGTTGTGGATTCCCGTAAAATTTTTAGTTTATAATATTCTGATTCATCTTTATATAACCATGTTTCTGTTAGTATGAGTATGTGGCAATTCTTATTTTCTGTTGTTAATATTTCTAATTCCTCTATTTTATTTCTAAGACTTCTAATATTTATATATGTAATTTCTATATCTTTATCATTCTTATTTCTATAGTTATTTGTCTTTTTCAGATTGTCTGATGTATTTGGTTCTTCTAGTTTATTGTTAGTGTTATTTGGGCTTCTAGTATTTATATAATTGGCTTCTATCTACGATTTGTTTATTTTTTCTTGTAAAGTCATGTTTTATAATTTATTTTGTTTTTATTGATTAACTTCTAGTTTTCCATCATAATTAATTGTTTGCCTAATTTGACTTACTTTAAATTTGTAGCACGGGCAGTTATAACTGCTCGTACTATGCTGCGTGTTGTAATTTGTTTTGTACTTGTTGTTGGCATCCAAACAGTTTATGCACTTGCTTTCCTCAGCTTGACATTCTCTCGTGTAGTGATTTCCAGTACACGAACCACAGTATATCCTGTTTGTGCAGTTCACTGCTAGGTGGCCGTAGGCTTGACATTTATAACATTTTTTCATGTTGAAATCTTCAACTATGTGGGCATCTTTCCATCCTATGTTAATGTTTCCTTGAATTAATTTTTTGTACGTTTCCCCCGAAGTTTCTATGTATGATATCCAGTTTTGGCTCCTTTTTGTTTGTCTGGTATGAATTTGCCTTATCTGATCATTTTCATTTATCATATGGTTGTATTCGATTAGCTCTTGCAGTATTTCGTCTCCATCTTGGTATTTTTTTGGAAGATTTGTAATTATTAGCCTTGGGTTTTTTTGCTTAGTTATGTAGATTTCGTAATCCTTTCCAATTTCCTTATTCATGTATGCTTCAAGTTTTTTTGTCCCTTCTAAAGTTGTTGCCTTTATTAGTAATCCTCCCTTTTTAATTTTATTTACTGATTTAACTTTTACATCTACTTTCTTCGGGTTTATTTTCGTTTCTAGTTCTTTTTTGTGTCTAGACTATTTTGATTTTTCTTTGGTTTCACTATTATTCCCGGCATATTAGTTGCCTCAACATAAGGGGGTTTATTTTGCGTATATTCATCTTGCTTTTCACTATCACTTTTACAAATCATTGCATAACTTTCTTTCTTATTCTTAATACTACTTAAATCGTCTTTAATTTTTTGTAATTCATTCATTATTGTTGAAATGTCACTTTCGCGAGCGTTTCTAACCTCACTTTCCGCGTCGCATATTTCACACACCCCATTTTATATATTTACACTCACTTATTACTTTATATTGTCGTTGTTCAGTTTTTTAGCACATTTTTTATGAAACCATTTTTTTTGCATTTTCCGTCACATCCCACTATTTTTTTCACACCATTAAATTCGATTTTACATTTTTTACAACTAACCGCGTCGTCCGTGTCGCCCGCCATCTTA